GTTTTTTATTTTTTATTGATTTATTTTTTGTACTCTTGTTTTCTGTTAATTCTTGATAGTTTTAACTTGTTGGATGTTTAAAGATCAATTCCAGGATCATTTTCCCATCTGTTTGTGCCCAGGTTCGGTCACAGGAGCCAATTGCAGGGAGCTGGCGTCTCAGGCCGACGTGGACGGCTTCCTGGTGGGCGGAGCCTCTCTGAAGCCGGAGTTCKTTGACATCATCAACGCGCGAGCATAACACACCCAAACACAACAAAACTCAATCAGGAACAAAAGTAACAAACTTTATCCACTTGTGTGATTTGAGTTTGGGGATATTTTAGTGTTTTATCCCAGTAATTAAGTCACTTTTCAAGTTCTTTTTTCATGTGCTTCTAATTTTACTGGTAACATTTATTGTAGATTATTCAACAGAGTGTTTTATGTCTTTTCTGACTGAATGTCACCTGTAACGTCTGACTCACCTTTACTTGAATAAACAGCAGTAATAATGTCTCTCACTCACAACAGGCACCAAAGATTTATAGTAATAAATAAATAAAGTTTGCTCTTCAGAATAATAAAGAGTTTGATTGATGTAAAGTGCAAACAAATAAAAGGTAAATGTGTAAAACTGTTTGTTTCRTGGTTTATCTTTATAGTGTGTGATTATGAATGTGATTTTCAAAGAAAGATCAATGTTTTCATTGTCAGTGTGGGAAAATTACTAGTAAAAACAATGATTTGAAAAACCAGAAGTAATAATAAACAGGAAATCAATGATCTGTAGGAACAAACAGGACGAAGTGCTGTTAATTGCAAATTATTTTTTATTTCACATAATTTTCAGTGACAAGCTTTCTGATAATGATTTATTTTTCTTTGCTCTCTCTTCTGTTTCAACACTACTCTATGGACATTCAGAGGGAACCAAAGGGTCAAAGAGACTCCGGTTTAATTTCTTTTTTCWTCTTCGAGGCAGAGGCAGGACTTCAAGCATGAAAGACGCACAATCAGGATCACATGGGCGTGAGAAGAGAGCGACACGGACACAGATGGGACAAGAAGAAGGAGACTGAAAGAGAAAGGAGGAGGAGGAGGAGTGCAGRTGAGTGTGTCCAGGTGAGTGTGTGTTTACACGTGTTACAGAGTGGAGTTTACACAACTGCACTGTCCTCGTTTTGGTCTGAAAAGTTAGACTTTTTTCTGTCTCTTTCRCTCTAAATGACTCTACGTTTTCTCTACTTTATTTTTTACAACATGAATCTTTATTTTTGCRGGTTTCTCCTCTGGCTGTACATGAACTATCCCTACAGTAACAGTGCATGTCTGGCTTTTATAGTTTGAAGATATTCCCCTGCATGTGCATTATCAGGTGTTGCATCTGCATACGCTGTGTGTACATGTGTGTGTGTGTGTGTKTTTTGTGTGCATACAGTTTCACCTCCCTTCTTTAAGTACAGTGCATAAATTGTATTTGTTTATTTAGCTTGGCTCTTTAGCGGGTCTGTTTTTCCTGAATTTTTATTTTATTTTTATTTTTTGTGGTCGTTCTTTGTACATGGCTCATTCCTTGTTTGTCGTCGACGTYGGTTTGTGTGGGTTGTTGGCGTGCGTGAATGTGTGTGTGTGAGTCATTCGTCGGGTCAGTTTCACAGAGCGCTGGGGTTCCTGAAGTTATGGCCTGCGAAGCGAGCCTGGTCGCCCAACTCTTCTTCAATCCTGCAGAGAGGAAAAAACAGATTTTATATAGAAWAACTGGATTTCTGCAGGAAAATACTCACTCTGCAYGCAGAAAATGTGAATTTTKTTCATCAAGACACCAAACTGTAACTCTGACTCTAGTCTGTATTRTATGGAGAACAGAAACTGTCATAATYAGAAATAAAAGCAGAAATATATTAACATCCTCCACAGTTTTAAACATCTATGTTTAAATGACTAATCACAGTTAATTCTCCTGTAAGTCTTTTCACCCTGAACCTCTCCTGTGTTTCCTCAGAATCGGATGGGATTAACCCACTGAGCCTCCCTTCCTCCCTCCTGAACGCTGACTGGCTCGGACTCGTCAGGTGGCGCTGCTGACGACCGTCACGTCAATCAGCTCAGACTACGAGCACAAAAATAGAGCAAGCACCTACAGGAGAGATGATACTGCAGAGCTGCTGCCAGGTTTGGAGCCAGAACAGACAGAAATGCTGATTTTCTGATGTGACGGCAAGTTTYCCTTTAAAATCCCTCTCATTAATTGGATTTTACATCACAGCATCTGACTGGTGCACTTTACACTTTAAGCATTTTGATTGAAACGTACCCGGAAATGACTTTACGCAGATGATGTTCTGACTTTTATTAAAGAGGCAATATCATGTAAAATTAACTTTTTTGAGTTTTATATCCTGTTATAATGTTATACTCACATAAAAAAACATGCCCAAAGCCTTGCTGTGACTCATTCATGCATGTTTGAGAAATCCTGCTGCGTTTTTAGGAAGCCATGCTGAGGAGCAAAATGTCCGGTGGAGACCAGAAACGCCCCTGGGACGTGTCTTTAAACTGATTTTCCTCATGGCAGAGCGTGCCCTGCCCCCTCCCCACATACCCCACCCATGACTCCTGCAGGCTCTCAGGTGAAAGTGAAACCTAACTGTCTGCTGAGCTCTCAACATTAGTTCTCACTCAAAGCTCTTTTCAGATTAAAAATACCTTTGAGAAAACGTATTTTCAGATGCCAAGTAAACTGCATCATAGCACCCCCCCCCCTGGGTGGGACAGAAGCGGAAGGTGGCTCTTAAAGAGACAGAGGCCAATTTCAAGGCGTTAGAGAAGGAAGTGATGAGAAGATAAATTTATTTTCTATTTAAACATAAAAACAGCATTTTAATGACAACTAAAGGTGACATAGATACTTTATTATGGTATAGTATTTAAATATGTGCCTGAGAAACACATAATATTGGCCCTTTAACAGATTCAGAATATAAATTTACAACTAAATTTTGATCTGCTGCAACAAGAGTCTAAAAAGTTTGATAAAATGTAGAAAYGTTTCTGTGCTCTAACCTCATGAGCTGGTTGTATTTGGCCAATCGCTCAGATCTGCAGGGAGCACCTGTTTTAATCTGCAGGAGAGAGAAATTCAATAAACTGCAAACACCGCCCCAGTTAATAATACTGAGTGTGTGTGTGCATGTGTGTGTGTTCACCTGTCCAGTGCACAGTCCCACCACCAGGTCGGCAATGAAGGTGTCCTCAGTCTCCCCCGAGCGATGACTCACCATCACACCCCAACCGTTCGCCTGAGCCAACTTGCAACTGAGAGACAAAAATGAAACTTTCAGAAATCATTTCCTAAACATCACTTTTAGCTACATTTTATGACTGTTAAATATAAAACTCCCAGTTTTTCTGTAATCACCTGATCACATCTTAAACATTTGATAAAAACAAGAATGTCGCACAAACAACTGCAAAGAATTACCAAAGAAGTATCAAAACCCATTGGTGGAGATGGATGTAATTACCTTTGATCTCCGTCTAAAATCCTGATCATGAAGCATTGAATAAATGCAGAGGTGTCAAAAGTATTCACATTCATTACTTAAGTAGAAGTATAGATACTAGGGTTTAAAAATACTTTTTTGGAAGTAGAAGTATCAACTCAAGCTTTTTACTCAAGGAAAAGTATAAAAGTACTGGTTTTAAAACTTAAAGTATAAAAGTAAAAGTAATGAACACTATAAAAAAGGCCATTAAAGATAAAATCTTAGGCTGTGCCACAGGGTTTATAGCACCCCGCCCCGAAAATTTTGGAATTAACTGACTAGACTTAGCCTGGTAAAAATCAGACCCTTGTCCTTCACTTTGTTTTGTACGAGGGTCTGGACTCGTGGCTATAGAGAAGCGATTCTTGCAGGAGGCGTGGCCTCTGCTGAAGTTTAAAATGATTGGATCGGTTGGCCACGACGTATGTCGCTGTGAAAGAGGCTAGGCTAAGAAGCTAACAAGAAATTGCGTAGGCTGTAAAAAACCCTACTGAGAGGAGAAATGTACCGACCCGAACGAGACGACTAAATGAGAGCTGCTGCTTTGTCAGACAAATTTAATTTAATTTGGAAGCCTTATCAACATTGACTGGCTTCATTCACTTCCTCCACTACCATTGCTAAACTAACTAGCAGACACTGCGCAGAAAATCGACGTTGTTCAAAGCTCTGCCTTCTGTTTGCTGATTTGCCCAGGTAAAACAAAATACACACAGACACTGCACAGAAAATAGACATTCTGTTCTCTGATTGGCCCGGACGAAAATTCTCCCAAAGAAATCCTTGTCTATGGGAGGAATTCTAGACGTAGCAGTGAAGGGAAACTACTGCACAGGTGTGATGGAGTGAGTTCAATCCAATAGGTTGTCAGAAAGGTATATATTTACACTTTTTACACTTATATTTACACTTCTCATCAACCAAAATCAAATTCACTCTATCCATGGGCTCCATGTGTCTGGATAGATTTATTTTTATTAATTTTTTTCTGAACAATGAAAATATGGAATAAAAACAATTCAAAGTTAAATAGAAATGAAATACTTCTTGCATTTTTAAAAAGTAAGGAGTAGAAATTACAGATAATTGAATTAAAAWGYAAGAAGTAGAAGTAAAAAGTAGTCTGAAAAATAATTACTCCACTAAAGTATAAATAACCAAAATTACTTCTTAAGTAAAGTAACAAAGTATTTGTACTTAGTTACTTGACACCTCTGAATAAATGTAACCTAAGTGTTTTTTTTTCTTAAAGTCATAAGAGGATAAAACTCAACTTCTATCCACTCAGTCATGACTGTGGTGTTGCAAATATTTATACCACACCTTTAATTACACCGGAGCATTAATCTCATTATGATTCATTTGTGACCAAAGTACTTCTGACAAGTTAACAACGTGAAAACGAAGACGTGTGCTGATGCTCCGGGGCTCCACTCAGCCGGCTGAATGTAGCAGATTAAAGATGAGGGAGATTTTTTCTCTTTTTTTTATGAGACGGATGAAACACGTCACCGTCCTGTCGTCAGATCTGTTTGTGTGATTAGATCTTTCTCACACCTTCTTCTCTCTCCTGCTGCTCTAATCTCACATGGTGCTGCTGACTGATGGCTTCATAAAGCTGAGTGACAGTTTCTCTCAGATGGATGACACGTTGAGGAATKCAGCTCTTCTCCACGACAATTTAGACAAATATAAGACTAAAAAACAACAACAAAGCTGCAACATTTAGAAAGAGAAATTGTTTTACCTCCTGTTACTTCCTATTTTTTATTATCTTTCATGTTTGAACAATCTCATCTGGGACAAGGTCAGTGTGGCTGACAGGAAGTGACTTATCTGACAGACAGGATGYAAGCTGCCTCTGTGTGTGTTTTATGAATCTATGGGTGTAACTGGGAGCAGAACAAGACGGAGAACCTGTTTTGTGGCTCGTTAAAGCTCCCAAGGTCAGAAATCTTTATGAGGTGAGCATATTCATTTCTATTTATATGACTTTCAACACTAGATTTATGAATCTGAAGCAAAGCAGACGTACGCCTGAATGGCCTCAGTGACGGTGCCGATCTGGTTGACTTTGAGCAGCAGGCAGTTGCAGGCTCGCTCCTCCGCAGCTTTCTCTATCCTCTTTGGATTGGTCACCGTCAAGTCGTCTCCGACYACCTGGATCCCGACCTGGGCCGTCAGGTTGGTCCAGGCCTCCCAGTCGTCCTGGTCGAAGGGGTCCTCGATGGACACCACTGGGAGGGGAAGAGGGAACRGTGAATCTGACAACGAGGGAACACTTTTAACAAACAGAAGAAAGATGCTTCACCTGGGTAATTGTTCACAAAGCTTTGGTAAATGTCCGCCAGCTCATCTGCAGAGATGTGTCGCGATGAATCTGGGGGGGACTTGAAGTCCAGGTCGTACTTGCCCTCRCGGTAAAACTCGGAGGCGGCCACGTCCATCCCGACCACCACCTTCTCTGTGAAGCCGGCCTTTTCTATGGCCGTCTGCAGCAGGTCCAGAGCTGAGCAGTGAGGGGGGAGAGAGATGCTGCAGGAGCAGATCGACGTGAGACAAAAGAAATGAGACAAAGCAAAGTTCCTTACCTTCACTGTTCTCCAGGATGTTAGGAGCAAACCCCCCCTCGTCTCCCACGTTGATGGCGTCYTGGCCGTACTTCTCCTGAATCACCCCCTTCAGCGTGTGGTAGAGCTCAGATCCTATCCTCAGCGCCTCCCTGAAGGGTGCGATGATAAAAATAAAATAAGACCCTTGAAGGTGTTGTGAAATATCCTGATGCATCTCAGTAATCCAGGTAGAACAAATCAAAAAGAAAAAATAAGTAGGTTCTCTGGATGGGTTCTTCTTTAGTGGAACGTTTTGTCTCTCCTCCAAGAGACTTCTTCAGTCTGATGAGTTTCAGGTGAACTCAGCCTTATAAGCTCCGCCTCTACATGGACAAACAGGTAAGTCACATGCAAAAGAGGGCCATCACCTAACAATAGGCTTGATTAGTTCTATTGTTCATAGAGGGTCATGTGTCCCATCACCTGACCCGTGTCGTGTTATGTGCATGTAGTGAACTACTAAATACTTTATTGATCCCAGAGGGAAATTACCAAATTTCCCTCTGGGATCAATAAAGTATTTTTGAATTGAATTGAATTGAATTGAATGCAAGCGGGGGTTCAACGTCCCCTTGTTTTTGTCCCTCTTTCCCTCTTTGGGAGGGAAAAGAGGGACAAAGGGAGGTGGAGGGAGGTGTCAAAAAGGGAAAGAGGGACAAAAACAAGGGGACGTTGAACCCCCGCTTGCATTCACTACATACACATAACTCGACATGGGTTAGGTGATGGGGCCCATGACCCTCTATGAGCAATAGATCTAATCAAGCCTATTGTTAGGCGATGGCCCACTTTTGCATGTGACTAACCTGTTTGTCCATGTAGAGGCGGAGCTCATAAGGCTGAATTCACCTGAAATTCATCAGACTGAAGAAGTCTCTTGGAGGAGAGACGAAACGTTTCACTAAAGAAGAACCATCCAGAGGACCTACTGATTTTTTCTTTTGTGTTGTGAAATAGTTTTAAAGAGAAATCCTTACTTGAAAGATTCAGCCCCAACAGGTAGAACCATGAACTCCTGCATGGCAAGTTTATTTCCTGCATGAGATCCTCCGTTTATCACATTAAAAGCCTGAAAAAGACGACCGATGAACATTTAAAAATATATATAAATCAAACTTTTCTTTCATTGTTTCTGTACTGTTGAAGATGTGTTGGAAACTTACGGGAACTGGCAGCACGAGTTCCGTGTTTCCAGCCAGGTCRGCTATGTGGCGGTACAGAGGGACTTCTTTCTCGGCTGCACCGGCCTTACAGATGGCTAGAGACACGCCGAGGATGGCGTTGGCTCCAAACTTTGCTGTTTGACAAATCAGGCAACGACAATTACTAAGCATTAGCATCAGGTGTAAAAAAATGTGTTTGTGAGAAAAACTAAAGGAGGAATMATAAATTGAGTTTAATTAATTGTGAGTTTTGTTTCTTTGGTGTTGTTTAAGATTTTTATTGGCTGCAATATTATGTAAAACATTCTGCAAATGTCTAAAATTAAACTTTGAAGTGTTAAATAAATGAGACCTATTRAAATCCATTAAATGTATTTATCAGAATAATAATTTCCCGTTACAAGCAGTCATATAACTTCTGCTTCTTATGTTTGTTTTTTTTTTACATTCCTGGAAATAAAAATGTGATGCTTAGAAATTCTTCATCAGACTCAGACAGTTTACAATAAACAATGGTTGAGTAATAATAATTYTGTGACTCTGGATAAAGCTGTTTGATTTTTTTTTATGGAGAGAATAAATTAATTTATTTTTCTCAGCACATTCAGCTGCAGTTTAATCTGTCAGGCTTTCTGTACCAACTGATATTAATTTCCTCCAACAACATCACTTTCACGCTTGTTTACCGCTCGGCCTGAAACCATGAGTTGTTGTGATCGCGGGATAAAATAAATAACGGAGCACTTATTTATCAGGGATGTGAGTTTCTTTGCCAAGGCCTGTCTGGAAGAGCAATTCATTTCCTCTGCCTTGTTACCGTCTGTATTTATGCAGACGACTCGGTGACAAACGAGTCTTTAGTGAAAGTATGTTTTTAATGTGTGAGATGCTGAAGCATGGAAATTTCCAGCTGGCTGGTGAGACTCTGATGATGTCGTGTTAGTCATGATTTAACTCACATTTATTTTCTGTTCCATCCATTTCTATCATGGTGTTGTCCAGCTGCTCCTGCTCCACCACACTGATGCCCTGCAGACAGTAATCAAGACCAAGAAAAGTCTCATATAATCACAAATTGATACTTTTATAAAAGACTAATGAAAACGTTTATAGACACCTTTTACAACTATCAAAGTCAGAAATCTGGTGACTTACAGAGGCTAWAAGAGCTGGAGCCAGGGTGTCGTTGATGTGTCCAACAGCTTTCAAWACACCTGAAGAAGACAAGAAATAAGTATTTTTAAGGGCTTARTTTCAAATAAAAGTGCTAATATTTTCAGAGGTAATAAAAGATGGAAATAAAGTATGATTTTTTTCATACCTTTGCCCTTGTAGCGGCTCTTGTCACCATCTCTGAGCTCSAGAGCTTCATAAATCCCTGTGGACGCTCCGCTGGGCACGGCAGCCCTGAACAGACCTGAAGGACAGAAATGTAGCAACAAGTCAAACACTCCTCCACACATTTATAGTTCCATGTTTGAAACCGTGTCTTTGTTCCCCCTGATGTCAAMGGATGACGATGGTTTCTATTTTCTCCCTCTGAGTTCAGCAGGCAGGCGAGAGAGGCGGTCACCTTTTTCTGTGCGAAGGTCCACTTCCACAGTGGGGTTTCCTCTGGAGTCCAGGATCTCTCTGGCAACGATGCTGATGATCGACATCCTGAGAGACAGAGGGGAAGAGGATGCTGTGATTGACATCATCRTCATCAGTCAATCAAACCAGATTTATAATAAATCATAATTTGAACAAAAGTCCAAATGGTAAACAAGTTAAAACTATTTTGCAGCAATGATGTGAAGAATAAGATARAATAAGTGAAAACAAATGTAGAAAATCTCTATTTTTATGATTAAAAAATCTTACAGGAAGTTGTATATTGTGGGTTTTTATCATTATTTTTTAATAAAACTGATAAAAAGAAACATTTTCTTATTTGGGAAAATGTAGGTGATTAAATGATAAATTGGACATTTTTCAGCAGTAAGTTGTGTCTCAGTGGACGCTTCCTCTGTTGAGGCTTTCAGGGACTTTTCAGGCTTCAGCTGTATGGAGCTAAATTGAGGTCATAAGTTTTGTTAAAAAATAAAAAAAATTTAATCTGAAAAAATGAGATTTGAAAATGAAATTTGAAACTGAAAAAAGGATATTTGAAAATGAAATTTGAAACTGAAAAACGGATATTTGAAAATGAAATTTGAAACTGAAAAAC